TGCCGTGGCCCTCGCGCCCAGAGTCCTGCATCGACGAGCTCCGCGGGAAGCGCCCCTCCAGCAGCGACGCCAGCTTCTCATCTTCCCCTGCGGACGGACGGACGGAGGGGTGCGTGAGCCTGATCCAGTGCCCCCACCCCTCTGAGAAGCGGCAGCCCCACTCTCAAAAGGAAGTCAGGGCCCCTTGTGAGGGAGGGAGGTGCGGGGAGCCCACAGCGAGGGCACTGAGCAGGACACCAGCCAGGCACCCAGCCCCTGCACCAAGAAGGACTCTTGGGGAAAGCCCAGTTCATAGGTGGAGGTGGCCCGCCAAGAAAGGCCTCCAGGCAGGACCCTTCCCGACCTCCCGAAGCCTGAGCACACTGAGCGAGTGAGAGTTCAGGAGGGCAGGGGCAGCCTCCTCCCCAGGTGTAGAGACAAGTGGAGCTGGGGGTGGGGGGGATAATAGAGCTCCCCACCCTTGCCCACCTAAGGCCCCACAAGAAGACTCAGAAACATCACAGTCCAGAAGTCAGAGGGAGATAGCCAGAGATGAGGTGAACCTACCCAGAACTGAAGGATGACTGCAGATGTGTACGGCAGGGCTGTGGACAATGGAGCCACATATGTGGCACACAAAGGGCTAATGCCCAGATAGGGTATTGTGAAAGCAACCTGGAGGCCCCTCCAAGAAACTCTGCCACTGAGCCAAGGACGTGCCAGGCTGTGGATGTAGCCAGTGGCTGAAACTCAGTAAGGCTGGATGAATGGGAGAGCAGACAGACAGATGGAAATGGTGCCAACCCTCTATTGGCTGTGCCAGCCCAGACCAGAACCTAAGCCCTCTGGAGCCTGTTCTCTCATGGGCAACACAGACTTAAAGATGAACTTCCTACTTCCTTCTGCAGATGTCACTAGGACCCAGTATCCAGCTAGAACCCATCAGAACCTCCTCCTGCCACAGGATGAGCTGCCTCACCTGAGTAGAGGAATGGCATAGCCTGTGGGCACTTGGTCAGCATTGTTAGGACCTCACTCCAACACAGGCTGCCAGTCCCCGAGCCCAGCGTCCCTCAGCCTCCACACTACACTGCCTGCACCTCTGGGCATTACTGCTCTGCTGCTGCAGGTGACACGAGGGTGGGCTTTGGCTACACTTAGGGTTGAACTCCAGCCCTGTCACCTCTAGGAATTTCAGTCTCATTAAGGCAGACCGCTCCCCAGTTCAGGGGCATTTGGGGTTTATAATACAGGGCTGAGCAGGCAGCAGCACCCTGGGAAGGTGGCTGTGGTATCGCATTATTTTTAGGTCTGCCTTTCCTCCCACTGCCGGACAGTCTGCCTGCTGGCCCTGGGTCTCCTTCCAGCTGCACCCCTGCACAACACATGAACATGCACTGAACACCCACAAGGTGCGTTAGCTCCGCAGGAAGAACGAGTGCACTGCAAGGATGTAGAAGGCGGGAGTGACGTGTGAAGATGAACACGTGGAGATTTAATGCTGATGGCACGCCAAGTTCTGTCTCAGGGTAAAGAAAAGCCACTGGCTAGGCATGGATTGGAAATCCATTCTGATGCCACTGGGGGCAAAAGTGACCCTGTCTGCCAAGTTTCCTGAGCACTCACTGTATGCAAGCCTCTAGTTGCGGGACCTGAGGAGTCCATGTGCCCAGGCAGAGCTCAGCTTGAACCAGCCTCCTAGGTGAGCCTGGGCAGGCCTTGGAGGTGGGTACCAGATGGTTTCCATGGTCATGGATAGTATCCTGCAGTTCCCAGGGCTGCATCGTGTGCCCAGGGCCACATACCCAGCACAGAGGAAGAGCCTGGGAGCCTGGCATTGCTCACGCTGGGAGCTGGATGCCAACGATGAGCACCTGTCACCTGTCAACAGACCGCAGGAGGAACTGGTGGGCAGGGTCAGCAAGCCTACCAGCCACCTGGAGGCCTGCAGAGTAAGGGCACAGATCTGGACCTACAGTGTCAGCTTGTGGACAGGGCAGGACTGCAGCATAGACTATTCACCGGGTGAGGGCAGATGAGTAAAACAAATGCTGAAAGACCAAGTCCCCAGGGGAAGAGGAAAGGACTGGTGCTGGTCCCTAGGGCCCTAAAATGAGGACACAGAAAGGGGAGGAAGGGGGATAACTGCATTGCAGAAAGGCAGCTTTGCCAGAAGGATGGGATAGCGGACAGGTCAAAAGGTCCTGAGAACAAAACTATGGTCCAGATTCAAGATGAGGCCTATCTTGGGCAGAGCTTTAAAGCAGCCCACCCCAAATGTCAGGTAAGGCAGAAAAAAAGGAAGAAACCATCAGGGAAGTCAGAGAAGAGCACCTCTTGGTCCACCAAGCTTCTTCCTTCCACCTATAGAAATGATCCTGGGCAATCAATGAATGACAATGTGATTTGGGGGTGGGGGGGAGACAGGGTCTCACTATGTAGTTGAGACTGACCTGGAGCTCACTATGTAGCCCAGGCTGGTCTCAAACTCACAGTGATCCTCCTCCCTCAGCCTCCTGAATGCTGGGATTACAGGCGTGCGCCACCATGCCCAGCTGACAATGTGATCTTTAAACAGAGGCCTGTGTCAGCAGTCTGTTCACCTGTCCCCAAGAAACTCCCATTTATCCTGATTCTAAGCTCAAATACACCACTCCATCTCCCAGCCTTCTGTGACACCTAAGTGTGATGGGAACTCCTCAACTGAGTCTCAGGCCCAGCCTAGAATCGGTCTGGAGCAGTGGTGCCAAACCCACACATGCTGTAAAGGGCTGTTTGTATCACTGAAAGCTCTAAAAGGTTCGCTGTCACTGATCTAGAGTAAGCATGGATCCTGAGATGGGTGAGGAGCTCCCCTGAGGGTGGACTGGAGACAGGACAGCTGTGGGACCCTGGGCAGATCATGTTACACAGATGGTGTTGCTCAATATGGCTGCTGTAGTACAAGAACCATTGTGCTCACACACACAGCGTCCACCTGAGGGCAGTGCTAAGCAAGGTCTACACAGACAAGGAGCAGATGGCAAGTGTGGTGGGTGCACACAGGACCCGCGGGCAGATGCCCAGGTCACAGGCACGGGAAACTGGAGGCCTGCAGGCAGGTAGGGCATGTTAAAGTCCCAGCCTGGGGCTAGAAGAGGAGCCAGCCGAGGATGGGGTGTGACGTGACTTGAGGCTGACAAGGCCTGACTGATAAGGTGCAGAGGGGATCCGCAGCCCTGAGAAGGCCCTCACTGGGGAGGTAGAGGTGGGCACTAAACAGGAGCAGCCCAAGAAAGAAGGGGAAAGCAGGAAGTGCTGCCCAGAGCCCTGGGAGGAGTTGCAAGGAGGAACAAGCAGAGATCTCCAGGGAAGGACACTGGCAGTGGCGAGAACAGTTTCAATTTGGGACCTAGAAAGAGTTTATCTGCCACAAGCTTGGCACAGGTGAGGGGCAGGACACAGAGCAAGGACAGATGGTCATTTGGGGAAAACTGGCTGGAAAGGGGAAGAAAGACTGATTCAAGGAGAAGTTAGTTTTAGGGTAAGAAACTGGACCTGCAGGCAGGACAGGAGACGGCTGACTTGGGGGACAAGCACACTGGTGCCGGTGGGAGGCAGAAGCGATGGAATGTCCAGCGGACAGGAGCAGTGGAATGGGGTGGGGAGCAGTAGATAGGAGTGCTTGTGAAGGAACCCTAAAGGTTTCTTCTGGAAGAGCTTCTCTGGGGTGGGGGAGGACTCATGCATTTCTGACTACTAACAAATGAGCTCCCTGGGCCCGGCAGGGAGAGGTGGGGCTTGGGAAACTGGAAGCCCCAGCTGGGGGCAGGGAAAAGCAGGGTCCTCCAGCTGAGTCCACCTGGCCCAGCCCCATCCCTCCAGGCCCCATGCAGCCCCAAACCCAGCCGTACCTACAGACTTGGTCCGTGGAATCCCCTTCCGCAGAGAGCCCGGCAGCTTTTCTGGGCCCGGGAGGCCCTGGCGCTCAAACAATGACTGTTGGGGGGGGGTTGGGGAGGGGAACATGGAGGTTCCAGGGCACTAGGGCCCTCAGTTCTCCGTCCAGCCCCCCTCCTGCTAAGCTGGAGACTACAGCCTCATGCACCCTCTCCAGTGGCACTGGACACAGGAATCAACCTGGGCCCTGCGTTCAGGCAGCAGGAGGTGCAGCCAGTCAGGGACTGGGTCACCTGGCAGTATGGATGGTGACACAGTGGAGACAGACCTGGGCACGGCCTGAGTGGGGGCAGAGGAGGAACGGGCCAGAAAGTGCCAAGTTGGGGAGAGAACAGAGACAGGGACACGGTGGGTTGCAGCCCCAGAGGGCTCAAGGGCCCCAGTGGCTCTGGAGTGACACAGAAACTGCCTGATGCCAGGGCACCACACGCAGCAGTCACAGCGGCAAAAATCATGGGTGCTGAGCTATCCCGAGGGTCTCTAAGAGAGGCCACGGGGTGCTCTGCCCCCTCCGGAGAAGGGGTCCAAAAGATGGACTCTCCCCTCAGAAGAGAGGACCCGTGACCGTCTGCCCCCAGGCCCCACCGGCCCGCTTACACTGATCTCTGCAGGGGTGATCCTCCGGCTGGTTGGCCGCTGCTTGACAGTGGCTGCCCTGGAGTCGGCATCCGCGATGTCTGGCCTCAGGGTCGGCTCCACAGCAGCTGCCAGGATCTCATCCAGCTTCTCTGAACAGCCAAGGAGAGCTACCCTCAACCCCCAGACCTGCCGCTGGACCACAGCTGCACCCTCCAGCCCATCACCCCATAAGGCCAGCAGGACCCTGGGATCTTCCTGTCCTCAGGCTCCTTACTGCCAAAGGCTGGCAGCCCGGACCCCAAGCAGTCACTGACTGACCAACAGGGACAGGACCAGCTGAGGGCAGAACTGCTTGCTTACAACCGTAATCCCTCTCTCAGCCCACCCTACCGCATGCCTGTTCTCAGCACATGGCCTGAACCCACAGTACCCCAGGGCAAGCTGCTCCTGGGGGACCACAGACTGGAAGACCCAATGTACAAGCAAGAATCCTTGAGATGTCCAAATAGGTGAATGAGTCAACAGTAAATGAACAGGTAAGTAGAGAACACTCCCAAAATTTGGGCCGGGAATCTAAACATGGTTTAACACAGACAGGAAGCAAAGGAATCTTCTTCCTACACCCTGAGGAAAGGCAGTGCCAGCAAGAATGGGAGGTGCTGGGAAAGACCCTTCTCCTCTAGGGGCTTCCCTCGGGCCCTCAGGAAGCAGTGGGCGCCACAGAACAGGGAGTTGGGGTGGAGGGCTGATGTCTGAACAAGGCCCCGTGGGTGGAAAAGCACCAGGAGGCCTCAGGCATGTTCTTTTCAAGTCCATTATAAAAGAAAAGCTTTGTTTGCTTGTTTTTATTAAAGTGAAATTAACGTTTTAAAAAGCAGTGCTTCTGCTTATAAAAAGGATTTAAAAATACTGTCCAACTAACATGTCTGAGGGCTGCCAGAACTAACCGCACATCCGCAGGGAGACGGACTAGGCCACTGCTCGGGCCATGCAGCAGTGATTGGAGACAGCACCCGTGTCAACCTGGCTGCCACACCAGCCCTCTCACACAGGACCTCAGCCAGCCCCACTCGTCCCTCATGTTCCACATGCCCCCAGGTCCCTCTCCACGCTCAGGGGACACTTGTCCTGGTACGCTCACTTTCAAAGTGCTCCTGCTGGAGATCTGTGGTCCACCTACACACAGCTCCTTCCAGCCCCAACCAAGGGCTGCTCACCAGCACCTGCTGGGCCCCTGCAATTCCTGCTGACTCCCTGAGACTGGTACCCAACCCAGACCCAACCTGCACACCAACCACACCTGATACAACAGGCACAGACCCAGCACTTGTACCGCACAGCTCCAGGGAGAGTCAGCACAGAGGACCCATAACTGTGCCGCCTCCACGCACATACAGAGCACATACTTAAAACTGACTCCTTGCCCCCCCCAAACAATTAGCAAGTCCTCAGAAGAAGAGAGTACACATTTTGTCGGAGTCCGGAATGTGCCCTGAACAACACAGCTCACCAGCAAAACAAGCTGAAGAGCAGCTCAAAGGGTCCATCCATGGCTCCCAACACCAGCAGGCGATGGGTCCAAGTACAGCTCAGGAATTGCTGCTTTGAGGGCTCTTCCCATTTGTTTTGGTGATAAAGTTAATAATTTCTTTTCTGAAGATGAAATCACCACCGCCACCTGGTACTGAATCCTCAGTGATGTCCAGCGTGTGCAGGGCTTCACGCAAATCCCACAGAAACCTTATGAAGATCCCATTATCAACCTCACCTGACCCAGAAGCAAATTAAGAGACAAAATTAAATTGTCCCAGATCACAGACCCAATAACAAATCACACTTAATTGCCACACTACCCAAAAGCCACAGGAGACACAAACACTGGTGGCCTGTCTCCTAACAAGTCACACTGCCACTTCAGCTGTGAGTTTAGAAAACATGCATCATGCTTACTGACCCAGAGAAGAGTGCACACAATTTTGCAAAGCACCTCCTTTGGATCATGAGACAACAGTGGTGGAGACCAGTTTTTGAAAAGGAAAGAATCACGAATTCTGAAAATGCCAGGTGGTAACCCCAGCACTCAGGAGGCTGAGGCAAAAGGACTGCCATGAGTGCAAGGCCAGCCTAGACTACAGCGAGTTTAAGGCCAGCCTGAACTACATAGCAAGACCTTGTCTCCAAAAATATCTGCAGGGGCTGAGGATTTAGCTCAGTGGCGCCACGCCTGCCTCACAAGTGCAAGGTCCTGAGTTAGATCCCTGGTACCAAAAAAAAAAAAAAAAAAAATCTGCAAA